GATAATCGTGCTCTCCTCGTGGGCGAAAATTTTAGGTCGTCGATATAGAGAAAGTGGTTTGTCGCGTAGACTCTGTCGCTGGCACTTGTATCTCCACCTTAGGAAAAAAGGCGGGTCAGGTGCCTACTCAGTGGGTTCAGACACAAGACGAAGAGAAGGGGCGACAGGCTATCACCCTGTAGTATGCCCCGCTCGACTTTCTTGTGCATGAGAGTGTTGTTGTGCCACCTTATCTCTATATTCCACTTCTTCACCGTTTGCTTGATGATAGTGATAACCACCCTGGCAAGTGCGGTTCTCAATAACCTGTGCCAAGTAGTCGTGGTCGATGGTCGTACGCCTTCATGACGTCGATCCACACTGCGCGTAACTGTCCGTTGTGCTTCTCATTGAGCGCGATGTTCGACAACGCGTGCTCCTTCGCCCCTGTACGTTGCTCCTCGTGCCCATCTGGTTCTCGGACCGTAGTCCCCTGCCCGCGACTTCGCGCTTTAGCGCTTCCGTTGCACACCGGGTAGTTAGCTTGTATAAGTTAGACATGCACGTGATCGGCCTGTACTGCGAAGCCGATACTGGTTTGTTTCCTTTTGGTTGGAGGTGGGTGATCCCACAGTAGAACCAGTCGTCTTGCGGTTTGCCGTACGAGCATGCCTCCTCCACTAGCCTGTAAGTGACTCTGTGCAGAGAGGGAGCCACTTGATGTAGTAGGTATATATCCATCCACCCCGGGCGACTTCCAATCCGCATCTTCTTGAGGATCCTTAAGAATTCCTCGAATGTGGGAAAGCCGTCACAGATTGTGCCGGCGGTCGTTCCACCAGGTATTGCGAACCGTTGTCCGGTGCTTTCGGCTTTACCCACATTTGCGCCCAGTATTCCTTCAGCGCTTCCTCGTTTATCGCCGTTTCGTCCACGTTCTGCTGCTTCTCCAACATTCTGTAGAAGTGTCCTCTGTACAACTCGAACATGCGGTTGTGGCCGTACATCTCCGTCTTGAACTTGATCTTCTTCAGCTTGTCGTACTCTTTCTGGAGCTCCTCCTGCGTCCTACTGATGACGTACGACAGTTCCTGTGGCTTGTCGGCAATCATGTTGTACTTGTCCATCTGGCGATAAACACGCTGTCTATCCGGTTTGTCGAGGTTGACTTTATTCTTGTACCGAATGAGGAGCAACCCCAACTCCTCCAGCTCCTTGATCCTTTGTTGAGCTGCTTCCTTCCTACTCGAGGTTCCGGCGTTTTAGATGTCACGCTGTCGTAGCAATCCTGGGCCGTCTGATATAGGATGGCGAGCATCCCCATGTCAGTGACCGGGTTGTGCTCCAGGTAGTTCGCAATTACTACGTCCAGCGCTTTTATCGCCGCGAAGTCAAGGGAGCAGAGGGTGTGCTTCTTGTTCCTTACATTTCTTATGACACCCGGCTCCCTCAACCTTCTTGCCAAGATCTTGTTAAACTCCTGCGAGACGGCGACAAATGTGTCCGCATGGTGGAGGGGAACTATTTCCCCGGCCTCCCTTGGCCTGTTCTTAGCTATTTTGAAGACCATTTGTTTCGCCATCTGCTCCACCTCCGCGGTGGTCTTGTGGAACTCGAATTTCTCGTTCGCAAATTCCGCGAGGACCTTCCATCCTCCTCTTGGCATCCTCCTGTATTTCGTCGCTACTGCCTTGTATACATCTACTGCCCAGTGACACCATGGTCCGTTGATCTGACGCATGACACAGTGTAAGAACTGTATCTTCGCGTTCAGCCTGCCGTAGTTTAACGGCATTGGCGACGTGTTCCCGACCCATACAGCTTGGGGGGCTTGCCCTTCGGGTGCCCTTGCCAACGCAGCCGGCTCAGCGAGAGCCACCTCACTGGCGGTGCCTGTTGCTATACTGTTGTTTGTTTCATCTACAGGCCCGACTTGCTCAGGTTCCTCTTCGTCCACATCCATAAAGTCATCAGGCAGGATGGAATAGACGGACGGAGAGCGGCATATGCCACCATTTTCATTCGTGCCTCCTGCTGGTGGCTGCAGGTTAGACACCTGCACACACACGGGCGCGAGTCCTACCGAACTCGGCACTGCGTGGCTGCTTGCGGCAGGCGGCCTATTGGCCTTTTTGCCCGCCTTTTTGGGCTTAGAGGTGTTACCCTTTTTACCCTGGGGACCGCCGTTTCGCGCCTTTTTAGGGGCGCCCTGCACAGCAGGAGTGGTTCCAGGCTGGCGGCGTGTCTGGCCCTGATGCGGCTTTCGCCGCCACGGCCGGGCCCGGCAATTTCCCGGATTTATTTTTTCGGTAACTCTCCACCGCTTTTTACCGGCCTTCCGGATTCTTGTTTCCGTTCTGTCGGCTGATTCTGTCGGCGCCCCACGGAAGCATGCGACGCGTCGGTGTCTATCCACTCTGGGACATCCACGTAGATTATCTGTACGAATACGGCTATATCTATGAAGCCTATCAGCTAATCATTTATGATCTTGCCATTGGTATGCTTGTTGTCTAGATGACTGCACTGTGACAGCGGAACGCCTCGTCGTGCAGCGGATCTAATTCCACATGTTTGACCGTCAACACACACCCCATTTAGATCAGAATAATTTTTTTGTGTAAAAGCTGCAATATATGTTACGTGTCATACGCCATGCATGAACAGATTAGACGATATTTCCCGTTTTTTCTTCGGTATGTGAGACCCAATGTAAAGATTCGTCCACATGTCAATGTCCATGTTGTGAAAAGAAACGCAGAGGCGTTGACACCTATTTCACCGCTTGCAGCATCGGTGCCATCATCTCCATCCTGCTTGTGGTAGTATGCTCAATGATAACAATTCGCATTCGGCCGTTCCACAAGGTCCGCGATTGTTTCGTCCGCAAGTGAACGTTTTGTATCGCATTCTTTAGTCACTTCCGGCATTTTTTATAATCGCACTTATCTCACCGTTTTAGACATTACCGGCACTACGCCGATGTAATAATGTCTTATTTAATGTTTCAAAGTTGGGCATCAGCAGGTACCGGCGAGTGCGTTCATAAATTACGTCGTAGCAGCGCATCAGGTGCGCATTAGTTAAAAGGGCACGATTAACACAGCTCAATGTAGTATGCGTATTCACTCCCACCTAAGGCAGCCGTCATCGCTATAATCGTCGCTGTCGTCATCCTACGTTACGCTCTTGATACTCTTGAAACACCGTATAAAATCGTATCCAACATTCTGCAAACATCTCCAAGTCTTCGCTGGAGTCGAGCCTCATAGCCTCATATAGTCCACGTAGCCATCCGGTAGACAGGTCACATTCGACGTAGACGTATTAGCTGAGTCACCCTCAATTTCAAGGTTTAGGTTATGCTTTACGTCAGCAACACCAAACTAGCCGCGTAACCAAACGGCTTACCAAACATGTAACCTAAGATGTAACCAAATGGCTAACCTAGCACATAACCTATGATGTAACCTCTAATCCACTCTCTACCCTGAGTTACGCCTTGCTTGCCGCCTTGCTCATCCACCTCAGCAGCCGACTGCCGTCGTCTTACTTTGGTGGTGGAGCGTGATGGCATAACGTGGCAATGATTTGTGATCACATTGGTGTAATTTACAGCGCAACTAACACTCTTCTCAAACAAGTTATCAACTTGTAAACTTGGATCACCGACGCTGAAAACATCCGCCAAAAAGCTGAGAAAAAGGCCAAGGAGGCCTATGAAAAGTTGGACGTTCACGCTGAATTGAGCAAGAATGTTGAGAAGATTGTGGACGCTAATAAGGCAATTAATGAAGTTCATAATAAGCTTGGTGATGTCCATACAAAATTGGGAGAGTGGAATGCGGAGGCCAAGAAAGTGCTTGACGGGGCGATTAAAAATGCTCAGAGTGTACATGATGCCTTGGTGATAGATAGTGGTTCAGGGCAATTGAAGAGGGAAATTGACCAAATAAGCTCAAGTAATGAGGCAATTAATGAGGCAAATAAAACTCTTGCCAGCGAAGTTGACAATTTAGGTAAGTGGAATGCCGCCGCCAGGGAAGTGATTCACAAGGCCAACGAGAAGTGTGAGGAGATACTTAAGAAAGTTAAGACAGATAAAGGTTCTCCAGGTCCGATTTATGAGAACGCTAAAACATTGAATGAGAAGGCTCAGACACTTTTGAAGGCTGCGAAGGATGCTAAGCAGGCTGTTGAGCTGAACGTCACTGAAGCCTTGCAGGCTGTCGTGGCCATGGACAATACTCTTAAGATGGATTTGTTTAATGTCAAAAGGCAGGTTCAATTAGGGATAGGAAATGTGATTGACAGCTTGGGAGTTTTGAAGTTGGATGAAGAAGTGATGAAGGATTTGGGGGAGTTGAAGGGGAATATTGAGGGGCTTGGAAATAAGACTGATGATATTGTAAGTGGGCAGTTGACACAACTTCAGTCAGCCAAGGAAGAGTTTAATAAGAATGCTGTTGAAAAAATTAAGACGGCAGAACAGGGGCTTGAGAAGAACTTTAATGAGCATATTCAAAAGCCGATTAGCGACAAAGTCCAAGAAGTTGAGTCGGCGATTGGGACGCTTGGCGGTAAGTTTGCTGACCTCGGAACGGAGGAGCAAAAGAAACTTGAAAAGATTTTCGAGCATATTCATAAAAAGGTTGGGGAGATTGTTAGCGGTAAGAATGGTAGAGGCATGAAAACAGGTCTGTCTGCTGTTGTGGAAAAAGTGAGGGGTCTTGCTGGGCTGTTCAAAGGACCATCACAGTTTGAGCATAAAGTACAGGGATGGGTTGAGAATAATATTTTGAAGGTGGACCCGATCAAAACCTTTATTGAGCAATATGTCGGGGACAACGGTAAGGAGAAGTTTCATGGGAACTATGGAATGAAAAAGAATAACGATGCAGTCTACACGGACCTCAACAACCAAATCGCGATAGTTATTAAGCAACAGCTTACGAGCGAAGCTGGAGCGGCCGGTGATGTGGTGAAAAGCCAATTCGATGCTGTCGATTCCCACTCCAACGAAAAAATTAAAGGCTACGTTACCGCTCTTAAGGAGGGTTGCAACACATTTGTTAAGGAATTCGAGAGCAGACTTAAGGCGGACAAAATTGATCAGTTTCCAGATACGATTGATACGCTTGTAGATGCGGTAGTCCAAAAGATTACTAGCGCAGTGAAGAACGGTTCCCCCGCGCCTGACACAAAGTATCTCATCCCCGCCGTCCAAGGCGCTGTAATCCAGCTGCTGGTCGTGGCCAGGCAGGTTGCCGTAGAACTTGGATCGTTCGCCCTGAACGCAGACAACAATCATTTAAGCCTTGCAGATAACGTTGATAATGCCCTTAAAGTAGCCACGGAACTTGACAGGCAGCTTACTGCGGCGACACAAATCCCTAAACCAGGCGGCCCCAACGAAAGCCCCGCCCAAGCCGTGGACAGTAAGTTGCAGGCGGTGAGGAGTGATGTGGATACCGGGATTGCCAGCAGATTTAAATCTGACGTCACAAAAGATCTTCAAGAAGCGGTGGACAAACTTCCTGAAGCCGTTGAGCAGTTCAACACTGAAGCTCAAACTCAGATCAAGGAGGCGGCCACGACGGCGATTGACAAGGCGGCTGAGCAGATTAGCAAAACTGGTCAAATAAAATTTAGTGACGATTTCATGAAAGAATTCAACACTCAGTTCACTAAAATAACTCATCCCACAACTGGTCTCAAAAGTGAAATTGAGAAGAAAGTTGATGAGCACATTGGGCAGGATGATCCGGCAAGTGGTCCAGCTGAGAAAGTCAAAATTATTGATACAAATTTTACGAATTACAATGGTCACGTTAAACAAGAAAAGTCTAAGAACGTTACGGTAGATAACCTAGAAAACTTACAAGGCCAACTTCCACTGGCGATCGGGAAGATTAGCGATGAGGGTCTGAAACCTTTCGGTGAGAATGGTGTCAAGGATACACTCAACGCGGGAGCAACAACCTTCACCGTTCCGTTCGGCATAATTAAGACAGAGCTTGGAGAGATCAAGAAATTGGTTGAGAATAAGCCGGTAGGCGGAAATTTCATTGACGGTTATAAGGATGACCAAAAAGGAGTTAAAACACTTTTGTATGATCTTAAAGAGTGGCTTAGTGATAAAAATGGCCACGCCATTTGGTATGGTTTTCCTAAGGGACTGCAACAAATTGAAAAGGCGATTGACAGAATGCAAACAGGGACGTTCCAAAACCAACCCGCTGCAATCGACTTAGCCGTCAAAGCAATTAGGCAGGAGCTTAAAACTCTGAGAACTACGTTAAAAACTGAAAATGGTAAAAAAGATGAAGATGTCATTGAAAGGCTGAAACACATGAAGGACGAGGGGCTTGGTGACCAGAATGACTGGACACCGAACGGTCAACCTCTCAGTGGTCTTGGGAAAATCGAGAGTGAGCTTCAAGAGCAGAATAAGCAACTGGGCGAGCAAACCAAAATTATTGGAGATAACATGACTATACTCGTAAGAAAAATTAAGTTGGAACTTGCAAAGATCGGATACAAGTTGGAAAACCTAAACACCGACGATGACGTTATGGACAATTTGAAAAAACTAAAAGAAAAGATTGGCCAAGGTAAAGCAGAAAATGGAAATCTTCAAGAAATTCAAAAGGCAATTAAAAGCCTTCACTACGATCCGTTCAATACACATCCCACTACAATCGGTAAAGCCAACTCAGCAATTAAAACAGAACTCACTACCCTTCAAAATGTGCTGCAGGGCAAGCCAGGCGACGATGTCCTTGCAACGCTGAACGATTTGCAGAACAATGGTCTTAATAATGGTGACTGGGATACTCAAAAAGATGCCAAGGGCCTTCAAACCATCGAAAATGATCTCAAAGGTCAACAAACTACGTTGTCCTCTCAACCCACTGAAATTCAGACTGGCGTCCAGTCAATCACCCAGTCGCTTAACAGGCTTCAGAAGCAGTTGAACACTGAGGTCACCAAAAAGTTGGATGACTTGAAAAACCATGGCCTTGAAAAAGGTGATACAAAATGGAATGAAGGTAACAATATCAATGGCCCCGTAAAGATCAAGAATTAACTTGAGAGGCTGAAAAACGAGATCGATCAAAACATGAACACAAAAATAGAGAACCTAAGCAAGGCGATTTGTGACTCCGCTGGGGATGTCAGGGTTTTACTCACTAAGCAGAGGAAGGTGCCATCACTTTACCACGTCGACTACTTCGACGACGACCCTCTAGAGTTGCTGGACATACGATAATAATTATAGAAAGTACATATACATGTGTTGCTGTGTGCTTTGTTTTGTGATGGTGTATGTCAGCCATGCGTGGGAGTTGCAGCGGTGTCACACTAGCACCTCTAAATAATTGCACAAATAGCTTAGTAATTGCCACTTATACGCTTATTAAGTCACCTATTCATAGCGCAATTCACATACAGCCTCACCGTCGTGGTCACATGTTGAGGCACATTGTTCACTCCCTTTGTCCTCCTTTTCCAACGTAATGTCACTGCACTTCGGGACGCCGGAACTGCGGTACCAACAGATGCCATTAAACGCTGTCCTAACATCGGCGCAACATACAACTAGTGCGCATATTTGTTGCAGTTGTCAGCTGACATTATGTTTTCAAGCAATAACGGCACCCACCGTACTCACTACCTGCCACCGCACCGCCTATGTGAACGTTACACGGCATAAAAAATGTGATGGATGATGTAGCAGGCACGCGAAGGTATGACGACATAGCAATGTAAATGGACGACCAATTACCAGGCTAAGCATTTGGTTCGGTGGATGCATTATGGTCTTCGTTCCAGTGGCCTACGCCATGCCACAGCGTAAATGCATTCGATGAGGTAACTCAATCCATCGTCGCAGGTGCAGGACAAAATTACTTGTATGCTTTAATATGGGATGCCTTGTGATGACTGTGTTGTCAAAATTGCCGCTTTAACTCTCCGTACACTTATGACCACAGCCATGTCGACCGGTGCCGGGCCGTCAGACGGTCTGATTATATGTGAGGAAAAAGATGGCTAAAATCCCAATACATTGCCATTTAATATATCCATGAGTATGCTATCCATAGCGGAAATTAGGCGACGAAATTACGTTTTTGCTTTCGCACAATTTCATCTCCTGTATTCCTCCATGGCCAGTCATAGTCCAGCAAGGAGGCTAATATACTGACCATATGCAGAGCAATAAACGCCGTAAGGGCGCTTACATGTCGTAGAAGCGCTAAAGCGAGTCGTCATTTGTGAGCTGGCGATCTACGCGACATTAATGATATCCTCGACTCGGCGTGACTGGGGACCTGGCCAATTGAGGATCTGTGGTAACCGAGGGAGGCGAGGTGATGAGGTCAGAGTCAATTTCCGTGGAAGAGCAGGAGATGCTGGTAGTGATATTGATTATCATTTTCTTCGCATATTTTTACATGTGCGGCCGAACACTACCCATATTCGTGTAGGTTGGCCATAATATCGGCGCACGGCGGTCGGCAAGGGACGACTGGTAATTCGAGCTTCGGGACGTGCATGGAGCGATACATGCGCTATAAAGCGTGTATAATAATTACATAGCAGCGATGACCAAGTCTATAAAAAGGGACGGCAGCAGGAATGCTACTCGCGCCGTAGCCTGCATGAAGTTCCGCTGGACTGTGACGCCAAGGTCGTCGCAGCAGCCTACGAGGGCAGAAACGCAAGGCAGATATATTCCGCAGATGACGTGTAATCGAACTCACAGCGAATCGGAGGAGTGCGGCTGGGAACCCGGCGACGCTATCTACACATGTCGCGCGCTGAGGCGGTCGTCGTCATGTCCCCTTTAGGAACGACATTCGTGCTGCAGATCGATGGAATTTCAGTTGGAATATCATCCACTGCCGGTATGTACTGTAGGTCACATTGGACGCTGTGAGGAGAAGTGATATCCACCGGGCGAGGGACGCGATCGTTAGTAGGACTCGTGCTTGTGTTGGCGGCGTTGCAGCGTCACGTAGCAATCGATAGGACTGCATATACCCTGGCGGAGTGCAGAGCGGTACGACATACTTGGCGGCGCGCCCTACGTGACGCCGAGAATTGTGGCCGGCAGAATGCAGTCACGCCTGCATCGCCCTTGTCCGATACGGAGGGGAGGTCGGCTGACTAATCTGTGGCTTGTACCGTGTGCGGGTGTCGTGGAGGCCGTGTTAGTGGCGACGGAGGAGCCGATTTCGCGCTCTGGGTGGTACGGGTAGGGGGACGAGGGATCTCCGCTACTCTGCCAGTTCCGCGACGGTGGCGAGCGAAGAGCATCGCACGGCGGACGAGGATGGCATGCCACGCAAAACCAGAGTTTAGCTGGCCACCAGAGCTGCTGACATGGAGTCCGAGGTGTCCGCGAGCGCTTCGCCGGGGACTCACGTAACGGGTGCCCCTCGCCTTCCGGACATGGCTGGCCGCCTCTCCGGATTGTCGCGGTTATCGGGCGTCAGATCGCACAGCCCACATAGGGACGGAGCGTGATGCATCTGGTATCAGGGGGCGGCGGATGCTGACGAAAAAGCGGCACTGCCAAAACCCGATACGTGTGTGAGATGCATGTACTGTTGAGTGAACTGCTGTCAACTGTAGCCACGCCACGCGCCGAGTCCGAACGATGAGTTACCGAGCAAGGACGGAGGAGCGTTAATGAAATAATGGAGTGCCGGCGATTGGACGCTTTGAGGACAATGGAACCTATCGAGAGGAAGTGAACATATCAAGGTCTCCAAGAGGAATTGAATGCTACGTCCGGTCGGACGCGCGAGATGATTTTGTAAGTTGTTTGTGCGGATATGCGAGGTGCTGTAGGAAGTCCGAAGGCTCCGCAGAGGGACACACGGAACACGAAGTTTATCATAAGGAGCGTGGAAAGGAGCCTGAGGAGGACGGATACCGGCGCGCTGGGAGGGAAGGGACGCCTTCCGGGGAGGACCATTACATGGACTGCCGGCTGGACATGGACGCTCTGGAGCGCCGGACGGAGGACGGTCGCGGTGCAGACACTGCACACCTAGGACACGGATAGCACACGCAACACGGACTGGACATAATGTTAGCCCGGGCTATATGTGCATTTATATGGTGGTGTGTATGATGAGTAATATGTTTGTATGGGGGTATGGCAATAGTGTAGCAGAGTTGACAACCTAACACCGAGGTAACGAGGCCACTACATAGGCTTATCTGGAGGCGACAGCCGACTCAGGAGGAGCGCAGCGACGACGACTGAAAAAGAAGAAAAGGAGCCGAGCGGAGCGAAGGCGACGTAAGGAGTTGGAAGAAGGCCGAGGTAACGAGGTGAGAGACAACGCGATTTGAGGAGGCGAGCGGAGCGAAGGCGACTGTAGGAGAAGGAGCGCAGCGACGACGACTGAAGAAAAAGAAAAGGAGGCAAGCGCAGCGAAGCCGACGTGAGGAGGAGCGCAGCGACGACGACTGAAGATAAGGCGACTTGAGGATGATTAGAAGAACGAGGTAACGAGGTGAGAAACAAGTGTATCTGGAGCCGAGCGGAGCGAAGGCGACTGGAGGAGGAACTTGCGACGACGACCAGAAGAAAAGGAGGCGAGCCAAGTAGGAGTAGCTGTAGGAGCGCAGCGACCACAATATTGACATTATTTGGAGCCGAGCGAAGCGAATGCGACAGGAAGTAGAAGAACGCATAGACAAACCCTAATTCGCTAGGATTAGGGTTTGGCGAGGTAGGAGTTAGGAAATTAGGTGTATCTGGAGCCGAGGGAAGGCGACGTGGAAAAGGAGGAGGAGCGTAGCGAAGCCGATTGAGAAAGATGATAAGCAGGCCAATGAAGGGAAGCTGACTGAGTATTAATAAAAGGTGGAATGAGGTGACGAGTCGAGTAACAAGGCGATTTGAGGAGGCGAAAGCCGACGAAAGAACGAGAAAAAGAGCCGAGGGAAGCGAAGGCGACTGAGGAGGAGGAGCTTGCGACGACGACTGAAGATAAGGCGACCATATAAAAGAAGGCGAGTGAAGGTGGAAATGCTGGAGGAGCGGCAGCGACGACAACCTGTACAGAGATGAAGAGTAAGTAGAGTCAGGTACCAGGTAAATAGGGTGATTCAGGGACGAAGAGGAAATGAAGAAAGGAGCTGAGGGAGTAGAGTAGCGGCAGACAGGGAGCGGCAGCGACCAGAGGGAGAGGAGGGTGGCAAGGCAGACAGGGAGCGACAGCGACTAGCGGCAGATGAGATTGGCTAGGCAAAAGATGGGAGAAGGGATGAGCAGCGGTGGCAGATCAATGAATGGACAGTCTGTAGTGAACTGATATTGTGGAAATAGGTTCATATGCTGTTGCAAAGCAAGGCGGCTGGTAAAATAGGGCGTATGGCGCAATTGAGGGCTTGGGAGGACAGAATTACGATGCAGGCCACACGATCCTAGAAAATAAGGGTCTAGAGGTTCGCGGATTAGGAAATTAGGTTCTTAGGGCTGTTAGGTTTAGGGTTTAGGTTTAGGGTTTTAGGTTTAGGGTTTAGGTTTAGGGTTTAGGGTTTAGGGTTTAGGTTTAGGTTTAGGTTTAGGTTTAGGTTTAGGTTTAGGTTTAGGTTTAGGTTTAGGGTTTAGGGTTTAGGGTTTAGGGTTTAGGGTTTAGGTTTAGGTTTAGGTTTAGGTTTAGGTTTAGGTTTAGGTTTAGGGTTTAGGTTTAGGTTTAGGGTTTAGGGTTTAGGTTTAGGTTTAGGTTTAGGTTTAGGTTTAGGTTTAGGGTTTAGGTTTAGGTTTAGGTTTAGGTTTAGGTTTAGGTTTAGGTTTAGGTTTAGGTTTAGGGTTTAGGTTTAGGGTTTAGGTTTAGGTTTAGGGTTTAGGTTTAGGTTTAGGTTTAGGGTTTAGGGTTTAGGGTTTAGGTTTAGGTTTAGGTTTAGGTTTAGGTTTAGGTTTAGGTTTAGGGTTTAGGTTTAGGGTTTAGGGTTTAGGTTTAGGGTTTAGGGTTTAGGTTTAGGGTTTAGGGTTTAGGTTTAGTTTAGGGTTTAGGTTTAGGTTT